GCGGGAAGCTGGTGGGGTGTCCCCGTGCTCCCGCTGGCTCTGCCGCTCGGCCACCTGCTGAGCCCGCTCAGCCAGGGCCAGGGCCATGAGGCGCGCTGGGTTCTTGGGGGGTGGGGGAGGGGCACCTCCAGGACGCAGGAGGGACAGGGGTGGGGCCAGCAGTGGCGAATCCGTACCAGGACCTACACAGGAAGGAACGGAAGGCGGGTCAGCCGAGCGGGGCCTGGGCTTGAGGGTCTGGAGAAGGGAGGGTGGGCTGAGCAGGACTCACCTTGCTGGCCCTGAGCTCCCCGGGGACCCGGCAGCGCCAGCTTGCTGCTGATCTCCTGTTGGCAGGGGTCGCTCAGCTGGGCCTCAGCTCCACGCAGCAGCAGGGGCGTGAGATGGGGACGTGGGCCCGGGCCGGGGCTGAGAGCTGGTGTTCGGGTGGGGGAGGCAGGCGTTCCCCCAGCCCCCAGCAGTTCTAGCACAGCAGGTGGCACCGATACCGCTAGGGGCTCCGAGATGTCCAGGACAGAGGGCGAAGCAGGGCTGGGGGGCCCATGAGGTGAGAGGGCCTGGGGAGTTGCCCTGGGTGGGAAGGCAGAGGCAGGGGCTGGGGGTGCCGGGCTGGCAGGAGGCGCAGGGTCCCCCGGGGTAGGGCTGCTGCAGCGAAAGGTAAGAGGATCAAAGTCAAGGCCCCGGAGTCCCTCGAGGCAGCGGGGCGGGCTAAAGTCCAGCTCATCGCCATCGTCGAGCCAGGCTGAGGTGCGGTGCGAGGGGGATCCGGAGAGGGGTCCCAGCCCAGCTGCTGAGGACTCGGAGGACGAAGAGGACGAGGAGGAAGAGGAGGAGGAAGAGGAGGAGGAGGATAGGCTCTCACAGGAGCCAGCAGGTGCTGGACCCACAGGGAAAGCATCGCTGCTGGAGTGGGGTCGCCGGAGCCTATGCAGCCGCTGGAGGCCTAGAACGGTGGAGGTGAAGTGCAGTTAGAGGCCAAGAGTCAGTAGAACATACTTATATGTCAGTGAGAACAGGGCACACAGCTCAACATAAAACTGGATGGAAATAATGTAGAAATAATGTAGAGAGAGGCATTTCCCTGGAGAGGGACACGATGGCTGTGAATCCAGAAGGAGCTGTTCAGATTCATGGGTGATGGGGAGGACCATGAAGAGAACCCTCCCAGACCCAAAGCGAGGGTGGGGTCTGACCACGCCACGACGGAGTCTGGTAACCGCACAGGCAGTGAGCATGAGACTAACTGAGCCTCACACACGGCTGCTGAGACTGCAGATGGGACAACCGCTTTGGGAAGACAACTGGGCCTTGTCCTGTACAGTTGCACACTCTCTCTGCTGCTGAGTATGTGGCAGAGCAACCTCCCAGGATGCGATTATGGCGGGGATTGCACATCAGTGCCCCCAAATCCATCAGCAGTAGGCTGGATGAGCAACTCATGATGTGACATCCCCACGCAGAATACAAAGGAGCAGTGGAGAGGCATAAGCCTGAGCTGCACTCAGCAGCGTGGATGGTAGCCTGTAATTGGTGGTGAGTGCGAAAGTCAAGTTCCACATACAGTATTGTACCCCTATGACACCCTCTAAATAGTTTCAACAGCTGGGAGTGGTGGCTCACTTTAGGAGCTGAGGCAGGAGGATTGTGCCTGGGTGACAGCGGGAGACTCCAACTCAAAAAAGGAAAAGTTTCAGAGATGACCAGAAATGAGCAATATGTATGTTACACACACACACACCCGATATGATAATACCTTAAAAGTCAGGGAATAATGACCATGAAATTTAGAAGCTGCCTCTGGTTGGGAGGCAGCAGATGGGAGAGGGAGGAACTCACAGGTAAGTATTGGGGCTCTTCTAGTTCTGGCTAGTGGGTTAATGGGTGGGTGGTATTCATACTATTTAAATTTTTTTTTCAAAAGGAAAAATAGGCCAGGCATGGTAGCTCACATCTGTACTCCCGGCACTTTGGGAGGCTGAGGTGGGAGAATCACCTGAGGTCAGGAGTTCAAAAGAAAAAATAAATGAGACTGCCTTAAAGGGCCCTGCAAAGACCAACGAGTGCAGCGTGCAGCGAGCCCAAGGTGATACTTCATCCAACTCACTACGCCTAAAGTCCAGCTTAAAAGATTAAGGCTCCAGGACCCCCACACTTGAAGCGTAACATCTGGAGGCCACACCAGGACCCCATTTCCTCCTGGCTCCACCTGGGCACAGGTAGGGCCCGCCCTGTGCTCACCAGCTCCGCTGGCCTGCGATGAGAGCGACTCCTCGCTCTTGGCAGATCTCAGCGTGACCGTGTCGGGGCGGCTGCCTGCAGGGAGAGGTCGGTGAAGTAGGACACAGCGCACAGACCATCTTCCACCCACAGGCGACAGCTCGGTCTCTGACCTGAAGGCTGTGGTGGTGCACGGGTGCCCCCCAGCCAGGGCAGGGGCTTTTTTCGGGGTGCACTGGGGCCCCGGCCCAACGCAAAGAACGTCTTCCAGCTGCTACCGCAGGGCTTCCTCTGTTTCTCCCGTCTCTCCCCTTTCCTCCTGGGGTGTGGATGAGAAACAGTAGGCAGTCTGAGGAACCAGCGCCTCCGATCTGCCTCCTTCCTTCCCTACCTGCATCCTACTCACCTTTCCACAGGTGAGGCTGGCACCTTGGGAGTTGTGGGCTCCATGGGCGTCCCCAG